TGGACCATGGACTTGAAACTATCTTAGAGTCCAGGCTGGAAGCGCTTCCGTCCTGAGGATACCTCTCTAGCCAGCTAAGTCAGCTCTTTGGGTGAGGACTGGAGTCAGGGTGGCCTAAGAAGAATTAATTTAGCAAGCAGTGGAAAAAATTCTTTATGCCTACATTATTCTTTACTCTCCGCTGTCACCATTAAATGAGATTTAAAAACAACATATGAAACCTTTCTATTTGGTCTGTTAAATCCCCTCACTGCCTCTGCCCTCAAGAACGTGAAGATAGACAGCCCTTCAGGCAATGCCCTCATAAGGCAGATGGTTGAATGCCTAAGTACACAGGGAATCCTTTTAAGAATCTGCTGTCTTCAAGGCTGGATTTGTGGAAAGTAAAGGCTTCAAAGGTGGTTGGAATGGGTTAGGGAAGGCTGAAACAAAGATTCAAGTTCAGAGCTAGCATGTGCCTAAGCAAAAGGAAAAGCCACCACAGAATCTTCCCCACAGCCCCCCAGATGGAAAGTTTTCCTGTCGATGCAGCAATAAACACATGGGGCTTATGTTTCATGTAGAAGAAACAAGGGCCCAGGCTGAGCATTCTGCTGCTCTATGATTCGCTATGGTGACACTCCATCCACGTGAAATGTGCCTCACATCCTTATCGCCTGGGTGCTCAGTTGCTGGGTTAAGGTAATTTCCCTCATGACCCCAGAAAAGTAAACCAATGTGGCAGAGACAGGCCTTTGTAACTGAATCTTCTCAAGAGGGAGTTTAGTGAAGTTTCTAACCAGAATTTTAAGAAAGACTTTTAAGTTTAGCCTTGTTACACACCTAGAATCTATCTGATGCTTTTTTTCTTTAAAAAAAAATGCTTATCTTTTTCTAAACTACATAATATTTACAGTTTGAAAGACCCAAGAGGCCTTGATCATTTGGGTAAGAGCTCAGAATGATTAAATGCCCAGACACAGATGAGGCTTTTGAAAAAGCCCTGGTTCTTATCCATGTGCTAAGGCCTGATTTTTTTTTAAACAAAATTGCTATTACAAACCTTTGGAATATAAAATTAAAACACATCTTTAAAAAATTTTCCCGCTAATTCTTTTTTTTCATCCAGCAAGTTAAAAAAGACTATCTTTTCTAAACAGACACAGAACCGAAAGAAGTGAAAGAAGCGGGTCTTCAGAAACAGGGTTTATTTACACGGTGTCCTATCGGTGTGGTGGTAAGCCATGAGAAGCAGGGTCTTCATGGCATGGCTGAAGAGCCAGCTGAAGACCGCTCCCACCTCTGCCTGAGTGCAAGTGTTTGTTGCGTATTTTGGGTGGAGCTGTAAGGCGTGGGGAAGGTGGCCTGCCACGTTTCCACATTCAAGAATAAATCTGCACGCTCCAGACATTTCCTTGAGAGATGTCATGTTCAGAACAAAAAGCATTAACGCGTCCGCGTTACATTCAGAAGCATGGCACGGGTGGGAGCAGGTCTTTCCAAAGGCTCAAAGAGCCTGCTATCAATCTGCACCAAGAGGAACTGCGTATTGTTGCGTACAGGTGTGTGTTTGGAGCTTTCAAAAGTCACACCCTGCCACCATTAGTAGCTAGCTAAATGGGCATTTTGGGCCCTGACCTATAACTAAATTATCCAGTTCTGCAGCTTGCTCACAGATTGTGTAAGATGCTAAAACAAAACAAAGCGAATCCAAAAAAAAAAAAAAAGCCTACAAATTAGTGAGAAATTCACAAACCAGAAAAGCAACACATTTGTTCTTTGGGGAATGACAACAGAAATTTATGTTAGGTTTTCTTAATTATTAAGGACTGATAATCATTTTGTAATTAAGAAAAAAACTATTGGCAATATCGGAGACCCCAACACTTCTGTAGGAAGGCTCGTGGCCCCTCATAAAGGAATATCCTCCTGTATGTCAGGTCTCAGCCATTCAATGCTTCCTTTCTCAGGGTGTCTGAGCTCGTCTGCTTTTGTCTGGCAATGCATTCAACAAATACTGGCAATCCTTCAAGAAAATGACTCAAAATGTGGCTCACAATTAGGCCCGAATGCCTTTTTGACCTATGCCCTAATTTTATGGAAACAAATTAAGCCACGGGATAAACTTACTACTCAAAATATCGCATGGCATTCGGTGCTGTAGTCAAAAGCTACAGGATGTTGTTAAGATGCCAAATAGGATCCCTTGCCACCTGTTTGAGCCCTGACACCATCGGCGTCCACATCCTTTTCTAGGGACAACATTTAAAACCAGGTAACACTCTCTACAGCTGAGCAGCTGCGCCATACTGGCAGCCTGAATCCTAACCTGCTCCATCTTCCCTATACCTTCTGCCAACCGTGTGTGTGTGTGTGTGTGTGTGTGTGTGTGTGTGTGTGTGTGTGCGTGTGTGTGTGCGTGCATGCATTTGATCATATATGTGTGCGCGTGTATTTGATCATGTATATATGTGTATATATGCTCCTCTCTTTTGACAAATGATTTCTTTTTATTAAGATACTCTCTGAAAGTTAAAACTAAAGGATCATAGAAGAGGAAGGAAAAGGCTAGGAACTTCTTCCAGATTTAAGCATTTAAACTCACACCCGTGAAGGGTCTTACTTTGACTTTAACCATGTTATCTATGGAAGTCACTCAGTTACACCTCATTTTAGGCACTTTGAATGGACCCCTCTTCAGAACGGCGTGGATGCTATAAACCTTCCCCTAGCTCTTCGTTAGCTGTGTCATTACCGTGATAATAAACTTCAAATTCTGTCCATACACACACTCTTCTTATACCTGAACTATAAATTAAAGTTTCAAGTTTTTTTTTTTTTAACTTTAGGCTAAGGAACAGAGGAAAAAAGCAAAAAGATGCAGATAAATTACTGTGTTAATTAAAATAAGATTCTAGCATACTGATCTTATACCAATGGGGGAAAAAACCCAAACTTCTAACTCTGGTAATGTCTGTAATAATATGGGTAGATGCATGGATCCTTGCTTAAAGTCTTACATACAGTAGATAGATGTTCAATAATCACTAGAGAGATTACACCAAGACTAGATGGACATCAGTCACAGGACCCTAACAGAGTCAGCAATGGCAAAACTAACAGATGAAGAACAAGATGATGAAAACCATTCCAGTGGCTGGTAACATTTTAAGGTTTCATAATCTAATTTTAAAGGTAGCCATCTCTTCTTTTGTTCTATTTCAAAATTAAATATTCAATTAGTGGGCTATATTTATCCAAGATTATACATACTATATCCAATTAGCATCTGTATGTTTGACCATGTAACATAGTCCTGCTGACTACCAGACACAACTGAGTGCAAAACTATCCCTGCCTTCTAATATCAGTTTGAATACTAAATTCTGTCACTGTCAGCCAATGATAAAATCCTTAGAAAGTAACTTCTACCATACCTGTCTACCATAGCTTCATACAGGTTAACTAGCTGGGGGATTTGAAGATTAAAAAAAAAAAAACAAAACAAAACCCTGGCTTATTGGTGTTAGCCCTCAGATTCATCACCAAATCAGAAACATTTACCGATTTGACATTCTTAGCAATGGTTCCCATACATAAAGTAGCACGCCACACTAGGCTAAGCGGTCTTCTGACTGTGAGCACTTCCAGGCGGGTTTATGAATGGAAGCGTATACAGGCCACTCTGGACAGTTAGGTAGCCCCACACTTTCTCCCTGGGTTATTTAGGGAACGTGTACGGCCAGTGGAAAAAGATCATGTTTATTTTTACAAGCCAGTCATGACATGAAGGAGCTGCACTTCCCTCTCTCTGGGAAGGTCACCTTCTTCACCTGAGTGGCCAGAGGGGTGGGAAGAAAGGCTCTCCCCCTAACTAACTAAACCTTAGCCAGTCAGCCCTGGGACCAACCCACGGAGCAGCGGGCACACAGTCAGATAATCATTTCCCAGGCAGGACTCCGAGGGACTGCTGCTGGAGATGCCACCTAGATTATGACTAACACGTGACAATAAAATGGATTTCATAATATGCTTCAAAATTTTACTGCCAAATAGATTATATGAAGATAGTGGAGTGAATTCTCATTCATAATTTGTCATATATTTTGAACTGTTAAATGCAATACAACAAAACTGAATGTAATGGGTGCAGCCAAAATGGAGATCATGGAAAATTATTTTTTGAAGAGTTTCATTCTGATGGCTTACCTTACTCCTGCAATGTGTAATAAGCCTGGTTAGCTCCATGCACATGGAGCCTGAATAAATATTTGCTCTAAAATGCATTATCTGCCTTAACAGAAATAATATAATTCAGCCGGCAGCATGTAGTTAAGCCTCCCTGGTCTTCATTGGTGTGTGTGGTTCCTATTCACAAACAGGAAGGGAAGCTGACACCCTGTTTTCAATTAGAATGTCCCATTGCCAATGCTAGTGGCACATGAAGAGGGGGAAAGGAAGCCGGAGAAAGAAAAGCCAGGAGGTGAATCCTCCTTCTCCCTGGAGTATAAGGGGTGAGGAGGCCTTCCCTGGGAAAGCAGGTCATCTCACTGGCTTATGCATCATAATCACTTGAAAATGATACGGGTATGATTTTATCCTCAAGTGGCCTCTGCTTAAAGACAAAGACACATAGCAAGAGGGGACCCGGAAGATCTCCAACCAGAGCCCAAAGTGACAGATTTGGGTTTTAGTGCCTGTCCTTACAGTCACAGTTTCTTTCAGATGTCTCTCTCTTGAGAGTTCTTTAAAAGTGTGTGTTTGCGGGGAGAAGAGTCCCATTCAACAAAAACAACAACAACAACAACAAAAAAAACCCACTACAAAATATTCCTTAACCTGTTTCTCTAGTTTATGAATGAACATTCTTTGAGACTCTACAAGAGGCAACAGTGACATGTAAGTAAATGTACGTGGCTGTATCCTGGTCTCCACAGTTACCCTTGAATGTACGTGCTGAATTAAGTAAGTCTCGCTGAGGATGGGTAAGTACGCATCAAAGGATGAGACACTGACATTCATCAGAGGTTGTGCAAATGTATTTTAAATCCCATTAAGAAGCCTTAAATTCAACACACACACAGGAATTTAACTTCAGTGTGCAAGTGAACACACACAGGGCATTGGTTCCTCCAGGGAATTGTGCCAAGATTCTCTATTTACAAATACAGTAGCAATTAAGAACAAAAACGAAACGGCTCTCTTTCCAGGAGCACCATCCTACCAGTACTGAGGTAACTGGCCACGTACCCTATGCGCTTGCCTTAAATTACACCATGAAACCAAGACTCCCCTTTCACCAACGTGGTTGGCTCTTAGCCAGAAGGACTTACCAAGAAGTATGAGGTATATTTAAATATACTACCTCGGTGGTTTGTGATGAAGAGTTGCCGTTTTTAATGACAGGTTGACATTTATAAGAAACATCTAACAACTGGCCAATAGGGTCACTGAAAGAGTCTGGGGGCATGCTCCTAATCTTTCGAGGTGACTGCCAATCGTTCCCATAGTCTGGATTCAAATGAGACTCTGGTGTTAACTGAACAATTGTAGTCTTAACTCAAAAATTTCAGTAATAAGTAACATGCTCCTAATTTTCATAATAGAACTGTCTCACGTGATCCTGGTTGCCTTTTAAATTTTCAGCAAGGATCCATGCATCGCCATCCTCTCTCCCACCCCTTGTGGATGCACTAGGAACCTCAGCCACATTAAAGGGCTGACCCTGGCAGAAGCCATGTGCTCTGTACACCTCTAAACTATTTCTGGTCCCACTATCAACCTAAAACCAAGCCCATCTTCCTTCCCTTCTGTCCAACCATGATTTGCAGAAAAGCAGAGGAAGAAGACTCTCTTCTCCCAGCACAAGAGGCGGTGTCTGAGGACCAGTCATTTGGGCATTTGCTTCAAAAGGCACATTTATTTTAGTGGCAACTTAAATAAGTAAAGAGGAAAGAATCAGATTAAAAAGAAAACAAACAAACAAAAAACCCAGGGTGGGTTTTGTGGAATACATGAAAGTAAGTAGGAACTGGAGACCTCTACAAACCACCGGAACTCACCAATAGTCTAATCAGGGTCCCTAAGCAGTCATTCAGTTTTATCATGACACTCACAGGCCTTCAGAAAACACTGTTTAAAAATGTAGTCGAGAACTCTCAAGCAGCTAGCTTGTCCTAACGTCCAGTTCACGAGCGTGATGCAGAAGGCAGCAAAATCAGAACTGTGTGACAAAGAAGGCTCAAGGGCATCTCACGGGCTTTGATAAATTATGAAAAAAAAATCATTGTATATATATATATTATCATTTAAATAACATCTGATAAACATTTTGAAATAATTAACTTGTGTTCACATTCCATGCATTGTCTAGCGGGTTAAGCCCTGGGTTTGTGTCTTTGTGCCCATTTCCCAACCAAGAAAGGTCCATTCTTTTGACAAATCCAAGCATTTCTGGACCGCAGTGGCAGCAGCCAGGGATCTGTGTTTATCCTCTTTACTGCATACCTGCCTTCCCTAAGGGACACAGAAGACTGTTTAAAAAAAAAGCCAACTGCTTGGGACTCTATCTGTGATTTTCTTCATTGTCTTTGCAAAATCCCTGGATATCGTAGACAATACCTAACTTTCCTTCCCAGAGGCCCTCTCTTCCTTCTACTTCATCCCTATTTCCCTCTTCCAAAGGCCAGTGGACTGGGATCCCCCAACTAGCAGCAGACCTTTTCCTCGTGGTCTGCAGCACCCTCCTCTAGCAAAGAAGGAAACAACAAAACTTGAAAACAAACCAACAGGGAACAACAGAAACTCCACGCAAACAGGTGGGCAAACCATAGCCTCCTCTTGGGTGGAGGCTCACTTTTTACTGCAGAATTCGGAGTTGTTGAGGAACTTCCGGATGACCAGGCCCAGGCAAACGACCAGCAGCAGCATGTAGCCTACGGTACCGGAGAAGGTGGGCGCTGCAGGGGATGCCTGGAGGAACTGGCGCAGGCCCTCTTCCACGTAGTACACCTGGTCGTAGATGCTGAGGAAGGTGAAGATGTGGAAGAGCTGGTGGCTGTGGCCGATGATGTCGAAGAGACCCGGCTGGATGCGCTCAGGGATCTTGCTCACGTTGAAGAAGGCAGCCACCACCAGCCAGAAGTAGCGGCGGTAGAAGTGCACGAAGAGCGTGGGGTTCTCGCCTCGCAGGTCGAAGAGCCAGCTCTCCAGCATGATGGGGCAGGCCATGCTGAGCGGCATGACGAAGACGAAGGTGCGCAGGGCGAACGGGTAGGAGCACCAGTCAGTGCGGCTCTTGCAGCAGGCCACGGTGCAGGCCACGGCCAGCACGAAGGCCACGGGCAGCACGAGCGCGCGGTAGGCCGCGATGAGGCGGGTGCAGTCCACGTGCCAGCCCAGGCGCTGCTGCACGTACGGCGTCATGACCCTGGCGTCCAGCAGGCTCAGGCTGGGCAGCAGGTAGTAGTAGTAGGCCACGGTGCTGCCAAAGCCGTAGTAGCTGATGGAAGCGTAGTCCAGGTAGAAGAAGGCGGCGCGCAGGCGCAGCGACAGGCAGCTGAACACGTGCGCCGTGCAGCTCATGGCGAAGGTCAGCAGCACTCCCGACGCATAGCACCACAGCGGCAGCAGCCAGGGGTGGTGGAAGGGCACGTCGCTGCCGCCCAGGAAGAAGAGGCGGCAGAACTTGCTGAGGAACAGCAGCAGCGGGATGAAGTGCGTCCAGAAGTTGAGCGTCTCGTTGGTGGGCTTCAGCACCGAGGCCAGGCACTCCTGCGCGGTGCACGGCAGCCGCCGGTAGCCGGACAGGATGAAGCACTCCACGAAGTCGTCGGGCACCTCGTCCCAGCGCAGCAGCGGCTTGGCGGCGCTGGCCGGCGGGCTCCGGGGGGCGGAGGCGGGGGGCGAGCGCCGGGAGGTCGGGGCGGGCGGCCCCTTGGCGCCCGCGCCCCGCTGCTGCAGGCGCCGCGGCATGGTGCCCCGGGGCTGTGCTAGGGCGCGCGCAAGGCCCCCGCCGCGGGCGCCGGCCGCCGTCGGAGCCTTTGTGCGCGCGCGCGCGCGCGGGGCCGCGGTCGCAGGTTGGCGACGCGACCTCGGCCGGGGAGCCGGCTGCACCGGGAGCTCCGCGCACCGGGAGGCAGCTGCGCGCGGCTTCCCGGCGGCGCCCTCGCCGACGCTCGCGTCTGTCAGCGCGCGGCCGGCCGCGCTGCGGTGGCGGCGGTGGCGCGGCTGACTGCGGCGGCGGCGGCGGCGGCGGCGCGGCGGTGACTGGGCATCGTGCGCGCGGGGCGGGCGGCGGGAGGCGGGATGAGCGCGAGGCGCTGGCGGGGGAGGGCGGCGCCGCGCAGGGCGGGGGCCCCCGGGGTTAGGGTGTCCGCGCCGCGGCGGGGGATGGAGGTGTCCCCTGTCTCGCGTCGCCTACCATCCCCACCCCCATCCCCCTTGGGCTGCAGCCGCTCGGGCCGCCGCGTTAATGATTGATGCGGGGCCGGAGGCTGGCCAGAGACGCGGCCGCCCGCGCCCCAAGGCCAGAGTGGACCAGGGGGTTCGAAGCGCGACAGCCACGCCGGCGTTCTAGAGGACACTGGGGACCCGAGTTCGCGGGGGGTGGGGAGCCGGGCGGGGCGGGAGGGATGCGCTAACTGTAACCTGCCGAGGGCGTAGGGAGGGCCCTGCGATACCCGCGTAGAGACGGCGTCCGGATCCGAGCCATGCGGTTGTCAGACATCTGGTGCTGCCTCTCTGCCCTGCTCTCACCCGTGTGAGTGTGCGTGTATGCGTGCGTGTGTGTGTGTGTGTGTGTGTGTGTGTTCGCGCGCGTGCGCGAGTGTTGCCCTCCCACTCAATCCACGGCAAGCCTTAGTTTTATCTCCTTTGCTCTGGCGGACCTATTCAGGTGCGTCACTATCCTCCTGTCGCTCTGTCTTTGTGGTGTCCAAAGGGACAGTCCCCAAACTGGTCTCCAGTTCAACTCACCAACATGGGAACCCCAGCTCGCCCTTTTGTGTCTTTAACTAGGAATCAGATGAGGAGCTCAGGGGCGCTGCTCGACAACCGATTTTGAAGAACAATTTAAGACGATGATATGGGGCATTCAGCAAGCCTCTACGGAGCAGAGTAATTTATTAAAAAGGGATTCCCAAGCGGAGCTGTTCAGGAGTCTCAGGAGGGCGTGGATGAGTAAAGACTGTAGGTGCCTTCTAGAGGGAGCTTGAAAAGAGAGTTGAGAGCCCTTTCCTAGAGACAAAGAGGCTATGGCTTGGATAAACCTATGCATAATTAACCAGGAGTACCTGGCAGGCTAGTTTGGGTTTCTTCAGGCAAGGGACCTGAAGAAAAGGAAACTTGAAGAGTTCAAAGGTTTGTGATGGACAGCGGTGTACAAATATCATATACCCTAGGCTTCTAAGATGGGGTTTCCCTGTGACATTTAAATGTTCACCGTGTCCCATCTCCGTGGGACATGGCTTCTAGGCACTAGGCGCTTTATAGCTTTAAAATATCTTAGATACTCATTACCCCGTTTTGCAGGTAAGGAAATGAAGGCACCGTGACAATGAGCATGCCCAGATAATGAATCTGAACCCAGACAGACTACTTTTAGATTACATGTATGAACACCAGTAACCTCCTTCAGTCAGGAAGCTGGCTGGTAGGAAGGACCATCCCGCTTAGGAAAAGGCTTTCAGTTTTCCTTTTAAAATGTATTTCATGTTCATTTTAAAATTAAAGGGCCACCTTCATCATTAAAGCAAATCCTGTAAGGAGGTTAAAGAAGATTTTCGTAGAGGCACAACACGGATCTAAGTCATTATAACTAAACTGTCATTTCCTATTGTGAATGTTCAGAGTTATTCAAGTCTTTTTTGAAGTTTCAGTCTTCTCTCTGAAATAGTTGCCACTCATTGATTTAACAAACACTTGCACAACTAGGTCACAGGCACTCGTTGATCGTGTATCTTCCTGACCTATCACACATTTCTGGGTAGTGGGGATTGCAATGAATTAGGTTTGGTTGAAGTTATTTAGCGGGTATTTTTCTTTATTTCTTTTTCCCTTTTAGTGCTTTTTCTTTTCTTTTTTAATGAGCTTTGTTTTCCTTTAGCACATGGAAAGAGACCTGTTGTGGGATATTCGTGCACTGTGTGAAGATGTGTTTGCTGTGATTGGTGTAATAAAAAGCTGAATGGACAATATCTAGGCAGGAGGTTCCCAGGGAGAGAAAAGAAGAGGAGACAATCTAGATTCAGGGAGACGCCAACCATACTCAGAACAAGTCAGACACACAGAATAGGAAAGAAAGGTGAAAAGCCATGAGGCAAAACGTAGATTAATATAAATGGGTTAATTTAAGTTATAAGAGCTAGTGGGACAAGCCTAAACTAAGGCCGAGCTTTCACAATAGGAAGTCTCCTTGTCGTTATTTGGGAGCTGATTGGTGGGACAGAGAAAGACTGGTGACAAACTGCATTTTGCCTCGTGGCTTTTTTACCTTTCTTTCCCATTCTGTATATCCAACTCGTTCTGAGTCTCGTTGGCATCTCCCTGCACCTCGATTATCGCCTCCTCTTCCTCTCTCTCCGTGGGAAATCCCGCCTATACCTCCTGCCTAGCTATTGGCCGTTCAGCTTTTTTATTACACCGATCACAACAAATACATCTTCACACAGTGTACAGATATTTCACAACAGGGACTCATGCTAATTTGTAAAACCGATTAAGAGTCAGGCATTCAGTTCAGGTGGAAGAATGCTAAATCCGAACCCCAGGCAAATCAGAAAAACAAATTATTCATATTCTCTTTGTTTCCCCACGAACAACCTAAGCTGTGGCCTGGGAAAAGGTGTTGAGCATATTACAGTTCCCACATTTGCAACCCTTTGGTTGCATAAGCAGCTCACTTACATTATTGGAAGAGATACCACACTTATTTCACAGATTTTTCTTTCACATGCACAACATTTGATTTGGTTTGGTTTTTGTTGTTTTGTTTTTTGGAGACAGGCTCTCACTGTGTATCTCTGTCTGGCCTTGAGCTAGCTATGTAGACCAGACCGGCCTTGAAATCATAGAGACTGACCGTCTCTGCCTCTGAGTGCTGAGATATAAGAGGAGGGCTACCACACTTAGCCAGAACTAGATTTTATAGATATAAATGCAATGCCATCAGAGCAGGTGGTGGAGTGACTGGGTGAAGAAGGCGGGGGGCGGAGGTGGTAGGGGAGGAAGAGAGGAAGGCACTACCAGAAAGAGGAAACGGGGTGAACATGAGCTAAGCACAGTGGTACACATTTATGAAAAGGTCACAATGGAACATTATTCTGCACGCTAAAAAATGCTTTAAACAAAATAATTGGATGACTGTAAATGATTGAGCAAAATCTCTACGTAGGTAAATTGTATATATCTTTCTGATTAAGGCTGATAGAATTGGCCTGGCGTGATGGCACATGCCTTTAATCCCAGCACTTTGGACCCAGAGGCAGGTGCATCTCTGAGTTCGAGGTCAGCCTGGTCTACAAAGCAAGTTCCAGAATAGCTAGGGCTACACAGAGAAAAACCCTGTCTCAACCAACCCCACCCCCCAAAAAGAAAGTGGTAGAATTGACTCTAATGAAATAGTGTTCTTTTACAAAGTTAGTGTTTTGTAAAGTCAAACAGTGTTTTGTGACATTCTTTCTTTCAGAAAGTCTTGTGACCACTGCCCTCCTTCCTTTCTTTCCTGTTCCTAACCCCACACGAGGCACAAAAACCAACCGATGTAATGAGCAGGGTGACTATGAGCAAGGAACATGATACACACGTATGAAAATGTATACAAATCCCAAGAAGTACCTTTAAAACTATCAAAACAAGAAGAAACAGGTTGTGCTGCAGAAGGGAAGTGGCATTCATGAACGTTCTCTGGTGTAGAGTCCAGACAGCTGTCCTTGCTGCCTGACGGAGCTGTATAGAGAGGAACTAACGAAAGAGCAAAGCTTATAATAGGTGGTTTCATCATCAAACAGCAGCAATGCAAGTTTTCCTTAACTACTAACAATCACTAGAGGTTCTCTAATTCTTTTTTTGTTTGTTTGCTTGCTTTTTCAAAACAGAGTTTCTCTGTGTAGCCCTGTCTGTCCTGGAACTTGCTTTGTAGACCAGGCTGGCCTTGAACTCATAGAGATCCACCTCTCTGCCTCCCTGGTGCTGGGATTAAAGGCGTGTGCCACCACCACCTGTCTGAGGTTCTCCAATTCTTAAATTTGAATATGAAACCATTTCCCCAAGTCCTGCACGAGCTGGGTTTTGTGTTTGGCCTCTGGTAATCTAACTGCTGCTTGTCAGTGAGAGGCATGCTCCTATCACTGGGCTTGGCAATGCAGATATAAGCAGCAGGCCAGCCGCCGTTCCAAGGGGTGTCCCGTAGATTAGGCACTCGAGGGAACCAGGCTCTTTGCAATGTTCTTGATGGCCAGAAACCATCAGGAATGACACTGGAAAGCCAATGTTGGCATTCAAAGGCAGAAACCAACAAGGTCTCCCAAGACCGGGAAATCGGCTTCAGTTGGTGAAAATACAGAAACTGTAAGTCGGGTTGCTCTAAGTCTTGGGAATGAAACTGTCTATAACAGCTGCAGCAAACCAGATGAGTTCCTCTCCCAATATGATTTTCTTTGGTCGTGTGTCTTTCTGTTGAAATAAAATGAAACAACAGAAAACATTCTTCAACAATTTCAACCCACAGAAAAGCAAGCCCTTTTGTGATATACCTCTTTTCAGAGAGATCTTTCTTCTGTTCTGGGGTTTAAACCTAGGGACCTGCACATGCTAGGCAAGTGCTCTACCACAGAACTACGTTTCCAGCCCTTTTAAAACTTTTTATGTTGAGACATAGTCTTAATCAACCAGCCTGTCTTTGATCTCACTCTGTGAGATCAGGCATGCCTTGAACTGTCTATCCTCCTGCTTCAGCTTCTGGAATAGCTGTAATT